TTAGCGTTACCGAAAGCCATGTTCAGTAACAGACCAATAAAATCACAAGGTGGTATCTTTACGATATCAAAAATTACGGATCGGTTAGAGTCAGTAGGCTGCAAAAAATCTCCAACGAAAACAGTAGGCTGACTCCTGTACGAGTAACGGGGTTTACGTTTCACAAAAAATATTATTAAAAATAACAACATATAATTTATCAAAACATTCTTTAGTTCTACTACTTTAGTAATAAATAACTGATTGAAAAATTTCCATCTTTATGCAGCATGAAAACTTATTTTGGAGAATAATCATTATACTAATTTTGCTTTTGAACTGTATTGTTTTGCCTCTTTACTGACCTCTTCTAAACTGAATATTACGCGCTGAATATTACTTGTTGATTGCAAACGTTGCTTTGTTATCATTTTTTCAGTAAGCAGTGAGTGATGTTTTTTCTAAAGCAGTAGATTGCAGCCTACGCTGAGAGGTGAATTCTTGGTTAACAGTACTGCTGATTTGACGCTTAATACAAATAATGTATTTTTTTTCAAATGAAATGTGCATAAAACTTGCTTCAGAGAATTACTATGCAGTGAATTTTTTCATTGAAAGATGAACGAAATTTGCAGCGTAGGAGCTGACTTAACATTATCATTTGCAGGTATCTGTATTGGGCAAGACAAGGGCTGGTCTTTTCTTCTTTTTTTTTTTTAATTTGCAGTACGCCGCGGGTATTTAGTACAGTATCTTTCTTTTAGCACTACTAATAATTTTCATATTATACGCCTCTTCCTGCACGTTAAACTTTGTAAAAACAAATAAAACGTTGGAACTTTTCTGGTGCGATACTTTTTCACTTTTTCACCCATGTAAAGAAAAAACTACAGATCCATTCTACAGCTTGTTTGTATTAAAGCTTCAAATAGGGAAAAACACTGCAGCTCGTAAATTTACGGCACTTTTTTTAAAATTCACTATATTCAAAGGTTGATTAGTAAAAAAAAGAAGTAAAAGTTGTTATTTGCTCAACCTTTTCATTATATAATTTGTACTATAATATTCTCAATCATCAGACGGTAGCAGCTTTATCGACAACATTAACTGCAAAGTTTTGGGTTTTTCTGTAAAGTGTTGGCTATTAGAGGGCACTTTTATTAAAGCTTCCACAGATTCCACAGATTTTTAAAAAATTAGTTGACCTTCATAGCTTTACTGTTCGCATAAAAAGAATCTTTTTTTTGATTTAATAAAACCCAGTATTAGATGAAACCCATAAAAGCTTTAAGACTGTTCCTAGATTACAGTGTATAACGCCTTTTTGCTAAAATTACTCTGCTTCGCATTGGAAGCTATTTGAGGAAACAGACTTTTTTCTTTTTGGTTGCCGACGTTGTAAAATAAGTGACGTACCTTACCACTACACAAAGAACAGAGTTATGCAGTATGCAGTACGAGGACTGTTGTTGCAACCACTGACAATATTAATAATTGAAAGACTATTTGTCTCTCTGCAGTGCCTCCTTGTGGGAAAGTATTCTGATTGATTGATATTATTTTTACTCACTGCGGACGATTGTGGTTGGCAACGTTCGCAGTACCTTTTTGAGGGCTGTATTCATTTGATTAATAGTGGACTGTTTCTTTAATGGACTGATACCTTGTCAAGCACAACAATGGCTTAAGTAATATAGTTTATCAACACGTAGTAGTATAACAATGGTAAGAAAGGAATCGCTAGGCACAGGCCTGACTCCTTCTATATAAGCAAACGTTATTAGAATAAACCACTGAAATAAGAAAATAAACTGCCAAATAGGCACGTGATAAACTAAATCAATAATCGGGCACGGGCTGATTTAGATTTGCTAATTGAAAGGCTGACCCAAAGCTGATCAAAACTAATTGATGGAAAAAACTTGTCGATGATCTTTTATGCACAAAAACAACACAAGAAATACACCTTCACGGTAGGTTGTAGCAACGCCTTATATAGTGTTTGTAGAGCAGACTGATCAACTAAGTACCCTCCAGAAGCGTCCCGCTAGGGACAATTAGTGGCTATGTCTGTCTACTGTAGTTTGAGGTTGCCTTTCGCGTACTGTCG